TTGACCAGGATGGTCTCGATCTCTTATCTATACTTTTAAGAATCTAGATTTTTCAGAAAGTAATTAGAGAAGGAATTAAACACAGAGCCAGGGGAGGAAAATAGAGGCATCAGAAATCTTTGTTGGTCCATAGCCCTAATCATTCATTATTTTTCAGGTAAAAAATATTTGTGATTATTCTCAGAATATTATATTTTTGGGATTATGATTATATTTGTCTTTGAAGTCTGCCTTTATCTCACAAAGCTTTGCTTTGGATTTTAATATCGGGTCTTGCTTCATGACAGGGAATTATTCTCCAGAGGTCCTTAACAGTGAATGGTGAGACTCACATGACTTTCTGAAGTTATTCCCATAGATTTCCAAATTTGTACCTTATATCTAAATAAACTAGTCAGCAGTTTAACCTTGTGTTAACACTGAGAAATCAAAGACCAATGAAACACAGAGTGAATTATTGTCAAAATATATATGCTAAATGGCTAAACATTTCACTTTTCATTTCTACCTTTTATTTTTCTTTGATACTATTTCATTAGGTTTATCAGTTATTCTTTCTTTTAGCCGAGGTGTTTACAATAGTAGTATGTAGATAAGCTCATGATATGTTTGTTGAATGAATTCGTAATATGAATTAGTGGCCATCACAGAAAAGTAGGAAAAATAGGAACAGAAAGTTATTTAAAGTTGAGGTTTTGGCATTAGGTTTTAACATTTAATTAGTAGTAGTTTTTTGTTTTTGAGAATTTTTTTTTACTGTGGTAAAATCCACATTAAAAGTTATCATTTATATTATTTGAAAGTATACAGTCAGTGGCATTTAAGAAGATTAATGATGTTGTGTAACCATTGACCGCTATCTATTTTCAGAGCTTTTTCATCACCCCAAGCAGAACTTCCATACCCATTAAGCAGTATCTCCCATTTCCCCTTTCTTCAGCCTTAGGTAACTACTAATCTACTTTACATATCTATAAATTTCCCTAATCTAGATATTTTATAAAATTGAATTCATATTCCATTGCACTAGATTTTCAATAATTGGTAACTATTGCCCTTGCCATTTTTACTTTCACCTCAGAGGTAATTGTTTAAACTTAATTGTTTGCCATTAGGATGACCTGGTTACCTTGTGGACTGGGGTGATTTTCTAATCATTGTTAACAGGCATCAAGTTCATTGACTAGGTCTGTCACTTAAGAACAGTTGTAAATTTAAAATTTTTAGTTATTCTCATAGTGTTCTACTCCTAAAGAAGCAGAAACTAGCAAATACTCACTGCACTGGCATATACAGATGAATGGGTTAATGTCTGTCCTAGTGAACAGCCTATTGCCATACTGCCTAGGAAATTGTGTATCTATGTGCATGTGTGTACAAGTGTGTGTATGTGCACGTGCACACATGTGCATATGATCTTTTGCTGTATTATTTCCAGGGTGTCTCTGATGATCTTCCAACTAATTTCAGTCAAAAGTACTCTAAAATTTTCTCTCTGCCATAGACTTACTGTGATAAATATGTATGAATTATTGATTATCATCTGTACTTACAATTCTGCTTACCACCTGTTATATATTCCACAAAGAAAATTTCTCTGGAAGTTTATACATAATGAAACCTTAGCTTTGCTGAAGTTGTATGTGAATTAGTTTATCTGGATTGAAATTATCTTTCTTCTGCATATAGATTCTTAATAATATTTTGTATTTATTTCAATAGGAACAACTTTTCAGCCTAATAGCAACTCTTACGTAAATCCTGATCACTTGAACTATTTTCGTTTTGCTGGGCAGATCTTGGGATTAGCTTTGAACCACAGGCAGCTGGTCAATATTTACTTCACACGATCCTTCTACAAGCACATTCTTGGTATGGCTCCAGTATTATTTATGCAGACATTTATTTATATTGTTTTTCTTTCATTTTGAGGAAAACTAGATAAACAGTGGCATTTTGGATGAGATAGTTTTTATTTTGATTGGAGGCCATCTGTATATATAAGGCATTCGGGTTTGAGTGAGAAAGAAATGACCTACCTTTTTTTCCCCAAACATTTTTAGCTAAGTTTTTTTTTTTTTTAATTTTAGTATGTGTATGTTTATGCTAAGAATATATTCCAATATGAGTATACTTAAGATAATTGGCACTTTTGAAGTTTACAATAACTTCCTGAATGGCTATTTCAAAGAAAGATTACATTGTAACAATGTGAAAGAAACACAGGCTTAATTTAACAGACTTTCAAATTCAGGACTCCATTTGAAACATGCTGTGAATAGGATTATATTAATATTTTGCAGTTTTTCAGAATATCTGTAGAGGGCAGTATTTTACCATTAAATAGAGAAGAGAGGCAGAAATACTTAGACTATAACTACTGTATGTTTGCATTTTGTAGGTATTCCTGTAAATTACCAAGATGTGGCATCCATTGATCCAGAATATGCCAAAAATTTGCAATGGATTTTAGATAATGATATAAGTGATCTGGGTCTAGAACTAACTTTTTCTGTTGAGACTGATGTGTTTGGAGCAATGGAAGAGGTGCCTTTGAAACCTGGAGGTGGGAGTATTCTTGTGACACAGAATAACAAAGTGAGTACTTCAGTTTTTACCTTAACCATTGTTTGTAACTTGGCCCTGATAGTTTGCTAGTTACTCTAAGTTCTTCTGGTATTTGTAGAAAAACTTTTATTGTTATAGTTTCATAACAGATAAAACATTTAAGTTAACAAAACCAGCAAATATTAAATTTTGATTTAGAAAGGATTATTTTGTTAATTGTGCTAGCTATGCTGAGGTGATTCCTAAAAATGTCTAGAGCATTTCAGCTGATAGTATAAATTAGGCATATGCATTTTGAGAAATCTGATTAGAAATATAAACTTAATTTATAATTTTGAGCTGGTGAAACTTAAATTACTTGCTAAACTTGTTAGAGGGCCTGTGTAAACCAGTCTCCATGTGGGGGAGTCACTTATTCCCAAATTTTATTAAAAGGCTTTGGTGATTATAAAGTGAAACCAAATAGATGAAAATATCTTAAATTTAAAAAGCAGCATGTTATATAAATAAATGCAATTAATATAGGCAAATGTATATATATTAGTTCCACATTTGAAATATAATGCTCTTAAGTTAGCTAGATGTGGCCTCTTTTGCTCATATCTTCAGTTCTAGTTTTTAGAATTGAAGCTATAGGAGTTTAAATGTTTGCATCACTTTTATAATACTAGTCATAAAGTTCATCCAGGCTGGGAGGAAAAAAAAAGAAGATAGTAGAGTGGGACAGGATATCAGGGAATGAATGAAGTGATACGGAAGTTAAATTATAGAGGTGAAGCATTGAGTGGTCAGGTAGGAGTAAGGATGGGAAGAAGGAAATGTTCTGGGCTTACAGGAAGGCACAGAGGTGACACAGAGCATGATGTGTTTGGGAAACCACAAGTAGATCAGAGCTGTGGAGCTTAGCTTAGGTTGCAAAGTAAGCAAGTAGAAAAAGATGATGTGGGGAAGCGAGAAAGTGGCCAAATTCTGAAAGACTTTGCATGCACAATTAGTAATTTGAAAATGATTCTGAAGTCTGTAGGGATGATTGCAGATTTTTTGTTTTTATTAAATGGTTTTGGGGTACAGCAGATGTTAAAGAGAGAAGTGACATGATCAAATTTCAGTTTAAAAAAAAAAAACCCAAGAAACAACTGAATCAGCTTGGAGTGTGAAGAATGGGTTGAAATGGGGCAGTACTGGAGTCAGGGCAACTGAGAGGAAGCTGTGGCATTTTGGTTTGGGGAAGCATGCATGAGGAATTAAGGCAGTGGCAGTGACGATGGAGAAAATGGGATAGCTTTTAAGCTTATGAGAATAATATAATTTATAGAACTTGGTAATCAATTGGGAAGATGTGAAAGAGGAAGAACTCAAGGATGACTGCCACTTTTGTGGACTGGGCAACCTAATGCCTGATAGTGTTGCCCTCTTATGCTTCATCAACCTCATTATCATTAGTTCTGTTTTCTAGTGATAGTAATTGCTACTTATTGAGTACTTTATGTGTTTCGTGTATCTGAACTATGTTCTTTGTGTTTCTCATTTCTTGTAACAGCCTCTTGAGATAGTTGTTTCTCTTTATTCAGTGTGGAAATAGCCTTAATATTAAAAAATTTTGATACTAGGTTTTTATAATGTGCTAGGCACTGTTTGACATGACTTACGGGTGTTGTGCTTAACTCTGTGAGGTGGGGATACCTCTTTCTACAGGTGAGGAAATGGAAGCATATAGGAGCTAAATAGCTTTCTCAGTGCAGTCTGTACATTTCAAGACTGCTTGTGCAGGGGCCATCCTAATCTTCTCTGTATCGTTTCAGTTTTAGAATATGTGCTGCCAAGGTAAGCACTCAAGCCTGCTTGTAACTACAACACTACATTTCTTTAGAAGTTAAATAACTGCCCAGGGACACAAAACTTGTAACTGATGTTTTCTTATTTTAAATGGACATCTGTAAAACAGTGTAACTGCTAGGTTTCTCGTTTACTAAGGCAGTGAATATCAACAAAGTAGCAAATACAAATTTAGTATATTTTATCAATTTCATTTTAATATGGTTTTATTGCTAGTTTTATGTGGTTAAGTTTTTATGGCTAGTTTTGCTTGATTTATTTAACATACACATTTAATGCACATACAAGCACAAAACACAGGCTTTTATCCATAGATTATTGACTTAAAGTGGATTCTTTATATGCATCTCTACAAAAGTATACAGGGTCTGGGTGCAGTGGCTCATGTCTGTAATCCCAGCACTTTGGGAGGCCAAGGCAGATGGATTGTGAGGTCAAGAGATTGAGACCATCCTGGCCAACCAACATGGTGAAACCCTGTCTCTACTGAAAATACAAAAAATTAACTAGGCATGGTGCCATGTGCCTGTAGTCCCAGCTACTTGGGAGGCTGATGCAGGAGAATTGCTTGAACCCAGGAGGCGGAGGTTGCAGTGAGTGGAGATCATGCCATTGCATTCCAGTCTGGCGACAAAGCAAGACTCTGTCTCAAAAAAAAAAAGGAAGAAAAAATTATAGAGTTTGAACATCCATAATTCAGAGTGCCCCAGAGTCTGAAACTTTTTGAGTACTGACATGAAACCATAAGTGGTAAATTTCTGATCTCTTATGACCAGTGGGCACTCAGAACACAAGCATACAACATATAGCTGATTCAGTATCCCCAAAGGAAAAGAAACCCTCCTAGCCCCCTTCTGCTGCATGTATATATTTTTTTCACACACCAAGATTCCCTCATAATGAAGTGAAAATGGAAAGGAACTGTGACTTTTCAGTAGTCTAGTTGCAGTAATTTAAGAAAAGATAACGTTAAATTTTTAAAGATTTGTTGGCAATAGAGCATCTGCTGATCACAAAACAGTGGTGAAATTCATTGATGAATTTGCCAGGGTCATTGCTGATGAAAATCTGATGCCAGAACAAGTCTGTATTGCTGTTAAAACATCACTGTTTCGTTGCTGTTGCCTCAGAAACACACTGACAACAGCTGATAAGACAGTTCTTTCATTTGGACCTTGGGGAACCTGATGACGTTGGGGAACCTGATGACTTTGGAGAACCTGATGTGAAGATATATCTGATTATATGTCTTGGGGTTGTTCTTTTTATGGAGTATCTTACTGGCGTTCTCTGCATTTCCTGAATTTGAATCTTGACCTGTCCTGATAATTTGGGGGAGTTCTCGCGTATGATATCCTAAAGTATGTGTTCCAACTTGATTCCATTCCCTCCGTCTCTTTCAGGTACCCTGATCAGACATAGGTTTGGTCTCTTTACATGATTCCATATTTCTTGGAGGTTTTATTCATTCCTTTTTGTTCTTTTTTATTTGTTATTGTCTGCCTGTCTTATTTTGGAAAGATAGTCTTCAATCTCTGAGATTTTACCCTCCGCTTGGTCTATTCTGCTATTGATCCTTGTGATTGCATTGTGAAGTTCTCCTGTTCTGTTTTTCACTTCTATCAGGTCTGTTATGTTCCTCTCTAAGCTGACTGTTGTGGCTGTCGGCTTTTGTATTGTTTTATCATGATTCTTAGCTTCTTTGCATTGGGTTACAACATGCTCCTTTAGCTCAGTGAAGTTTGTTATTACCTACCTTTCAAAGCCTATTTCTGTCAGTTCAGCCATCTCAGCATCAGACCAGTTACGTGCTTTTGCTGGAGAGGTGTTGCAGTCGTTTGGAAAAGAGGTTTTTGAGTTTTCAGCATTTTTGTGTTGATTCTTTCTCATCTTTTTGGGCTTATCTACCTTTGATCTTTGAGATTGCTGACCTCTGAGGTTTTTGTGAGGTCTTTTTGTTGATATTTTTGGTTTTTGTTTGTTTGTTTTTCTTTTAGTAGTCTGGCCACTCTACTGTAGGGCTGCTGTGGTTTGCCGGGGGTTCTCTCCAGACCCCAGTTGCCTTGGTTTCTCCCATATCTGGAGGTATCAGCAGTGAACGCCATGAAACAGCAAAGATGGCAGGCAGATCCTTCCTCTGGAAGCTCTGTCCTACGGGGTACTTACCTGTTGTTGGCCTGCACGCATCTTTAAGTGGTGGCTGGAGACTCCTTGTTGGAAGATCTCAACCAGTCACCTGCCAAAAGAAGCAGTCTGGCTGCTTTTTTGTAGAGCACGTGTGCTACATTAAGGGGGACCCTTCCTTGCTGGACTGCCTGTATTCTCCAAAGCCAGCAGGCTGGAGAACCGCCGATAAGGCGGTCACCCCTCACCCTTGGAACTCGGTCCCAGTGAGATAGCAAAACTCTGTTCTTAGAACCATTAGCCAGTGTATTTCTACACAACATGAATGCTTGAAGTGTTACTGGGTAAAAGTACTTAGTAAAATTTGTATTTTCATGATAATATTAATTTGTTTTATTCTGTTTGAAGGTGTACTGTTTAGTGAGGCAGGGAAACAGAAAGAGTTTGACTTAGATTTATCTGTTAAACACAGCTATCTTTTAACTGTTTGAAAAACTCTTATATTACAGAAAAATTAAGAAGGGTTTATGATAGCTAGATTTCATTATTTTATTGAAAAATACCTTTCTGCCTGTGGATGCCACTGAAGAAGCATTGTTAAAGTCTCTCTTCTCCCCGTAATTGTGTCTAAGTCAGAGTCTCCTGAAGAGCCCGAACAGCTGAGAAAGCTGTTTATTGGAGGGTTGAGTGTTGAAACAACTGATGAGAGTCCGAGGAGCCATTTTGAGCAATAGGGCAGGCTCACAGACTGTGTGGTAATGAGAGATGCAAACACCAAGCACTCCAGGGGCTTTGGGTTCCTCATGTATGCCACTGTGGAGGAGTTGGATGCAGCCATGAATGCAAGGCCACACAACGTGGATGGAAGAGTTGTGGAACCAAAGAGAGCTGTCTCAAGAGAAGATTCTCAAAGACCAAGTGCCCCCTTAACTGTGAAAAAAAGTATTTGTTGGTGGCATTAAAGAAGACACTGAAGAACATCACCTAAAAGATTATTTTGAACAGTATGGAAAAATTGAAGTGATTGAAATCATGGCTGACCTTGGCAGTGGCAAGAAAACGGGCTTTGCCATTGTAACCTTTGATGACCATGTCTCCGTGGATAAGACTGCCATTTAGAAATACCATACTATGAATGGCCACAACTGTGAAGTTAGGAAAGTCCTATCAAAGCAAGAGATGGCTAGTGCTTCATCCAGCCAAAGAGGCTGAAGTGGTTCTGGAAACTTTGGTGGTGGTCATGGAAGTGGATTTGGTGGGAATGACAACTTTGGTCTTGGAAGAAACTTCAGTGGTTGTGGTGGCTTTGGTGGCAGCTGTGGCGGTGGTGGATTTGGTGGCGGTGGGGATGGCTATAATGAATTTGGTAGTGATGAAAGCAACTTTGGAAGTGGTGGAAGCTACAATGATTTTGGCAATTACAACAATCAGCCTTCAAAGTTTGGACCCATGAAAGGAGGAAACTTTGGAGGCAGAAACTATGGCCCCTATGGTGGTGATGGCCAATACTTTGCCAAACCATGAAACCAAGGTCACTGTGGCAGTTCCAGTAGCAGTAGTAGCTATGGCAGTGGCAGAAGATTTTAATTAGGAAACAAAGCTTAGCAGGAGAGGAGAGCCAGAGAAGTGACAGGGAAGCTACAGGTTGCAACAGATGCCTAGCTACTACAAAGAAGACATGATTTTGACAAATACTCGTATGTATGGGCAAAAAATTCGAGGACCGTATTTGTGACTAATTGTATAACAGGTTATTTTAGTTTCTGTTCTGTGGAAAGTATAAAGCATTCCAACAAAGGGTTTTAATGTAGATTTTTTTTTTTGCACCCATGCTGTTGATTGCCAAATGTAATAATCTGATCATGACACTGCATAAATGTCTTTTTTTTTTTTTTTTTAACGTGCTGTGTAAAGTTAGTCTACTCTGAAGCCATCTTGGTAAATTTCCCCAACAGTGTGAAGTTAGAATTCCTTCAGGGTGATGCCAGGTTCTATTTGGAATTTATATACAACCTGCTTACATAGAGAAGCCATTGTCTTCAGAAACCTTGATGTAGTTAAACTGATAGTTACTGTTGTGACCTGAAGTTCACCATTAAAAGGGATTACCCAAGCAAAATCATGGAATTATTGGTTATAAAAATGATTGTTGGCACATCCTATGCAATATATCTAAATTGAATAATGGTACCAGATAAAATTATAGATGGGAATGAAGCTTGTGTGTAATCAATAAACTATTTAATTATCTTGAAAAACAAAAAAGAAAAATAATTTTGTTTAACTGCCATCCACATTTAAATTACTTAATTAGCATGAAGACTGGGATGTGAAAGCTGATTTTCACAAATTGGTATCAATAACTATGAACTGAGTTACTGCAATACATGTGGAAATAAATATTAAAAGAAATAGAAGAAAAAGTATGATGAAAGAGTGTATTTGTAAAAATTAATTTAAAAATAGAAAGTAGGAGGAAATAATAGTAATAGTAAAAAGAATATATACTATTCTGATACAGAATGCAATTAAAATAGGTAACATTTACATGAGCAATTCAAAAATCTTTTATTTTCATGATTCATGATTTGTTAAAGTCTTCAACAGAGATTATTGAGTCGCACTTTAAGATTATAAAGCCAGAACCTCTTGGAAAAAAGTCAGTTTTAGGGAAGAATAGGGTCTTTTCTGGCATCTTAAAAAATGTGGGTCTATAATTATATGAATGGGGCAGAAAATTTTTAGTGCATCCAGTCAACAGTTTTAGTGAGAGTAGATGTAAACTAAAATATAATCATGTGCTAATGCAGATACTTCTGTAATCACTATAAAATGTTTTATATAAGTTATTTCTTGGGCTGGACTCTGGAAATTTAGTGTATGTTTCTGTTTGACTGTTGGACACACATTTCTGTTTCCCTCTCTGTAATAACTACCTGTATGTAGCTTGTAACTGATTAATTCCTATACAGTGGAGAAAAACTTGCACCTTTGGTTGGTGGGAAGTAGGATTTGGGGTGAGAGGAGATTGATAGCAGAGATGGTAGCTTTCCTTGCGTTAAATTGTACAAGGAGCCACACAGGGTTTCAGGAGGGTGTGAGGAATCTACTGTGACAGGTCTGTAGCTCTGAGAGCAATGGAGAATTCATAGCTAGCAGTCATGTAGAACTTGCTGGCTCAATGCCTTTTTTGGGTCTTTTTTTCCCCTGTTTTTTGTTTGTTTTTGTTGTTGTTTGTTTTTGTTTTTGAACAGAGCATCAGATTAGTGCCAAAAAAGAACAAAGGAAGAGGGCTAAAACAGACTTCTTCCCTGTTAGAGTATTAATTCCTAGTAGGTGGGAGCTATATACCTGCTACAGCATATTGCTTTTAACTCACAAAGTTTCACTTACAAGTAATTAAAAATATATATAAATGATAACATCTGATAGTTTATATATGTATAAACACAGATACTTTTTTTTCCCTCTTTCTGTATATAATTCATTTTGTTCTAAGCCAAAATACATTTTTTAAATTACCAGTTCATTTTTTTTTTCTTTAAGAGACGGGGTCTTGCCCTGTTGCTAAGGCTAGAGTATGGTGGCATGGTCATAATTCACTGCAGACTCGAACTCCTGGGGTCAAGCAATGCTTCCACCTCAGCCTCCCCTAGTAACTAGGAGTACAGGCATGGCTACCATGCCCTGCTTATTACCTGTCTGTGATTATGATGTATTTTAAAATACAGTGGGTGAATATAGCTTAACTTAGAATTGGATTGGCTATGCTACAAACAGTCATTTTATCAAGTTCTAAGTATGTGTTAAGTGAACTTGATGATTGTATGCATTCATTCATCACATACTTTTTGAATATTTACAAAGTGGGAGTCACTTTTTAGGAGTTTTGGTATATATACTGGTAAAACAAAGCCCCTGTCTACGGAGTGATTGCATTCAATATGAGACATTTCAGTGAGAATGACTAGAAGTATAAACATACTGGGGCCCGGACAAGCCTGTGTTTCAGGAATAGCCAGAAAGCAGGTGAAACTAGAATTGAGTGAATGAATGAGCTAGGTAGAGAATGGAAAGAAATGAGATCAGAGAGCAAGGCAGAGGCCAGATCATTGAGGGCCTTAGAGACTAGGAAAGGATTTGGATTTTACTCCAGATGTCGTGAGAAGTCATTATAGGGTTTTGAGCAAGAGAGTTGCCTGATCTGAGTTATTTACATATACATACACACACATATATTTCTATGTCTGTATATACATATATATTTTTAAAAATCACTCTGACTAAGGTGTGGAGAAGCAGCAGTACAGGGACAAAAATGGAAACAGGGATACCAGATGTTGCAGTAATCCAGATGGGAACTGATGATGGCTTGAACCAGGGTGCTGAAATGGTGGTAGTGAGACCAGGTCGGATTGAGAATTTTTTTTAAAGGTAGATCTGATAGCAAGCATCAGCTGAAATAGAGCGTGAGAGAAATCATGGACGATTTGATTCCCTAGAATTTTTGCTTAAACAGCTTAGCGAATGGTGGCTTCTTGGTTTGCTGAGATGTATGAGTGTTGGTGTCAATTTTGTTTTAAACTTTTACATCTTAAATAAGAAATAATTATATTAACATTATCTTAAGTTTGTAAGATGTTTTTAAAAAGTCATGATGAAAACTTCTTTTTCAATAGGCGGAGTACGTCCAGCTTGTTACTGAACTTCGAATGACAAGAGCCATTCAGCCTCAGATCAATGCTTTTTTACAGGGCTTTCATATGTTCATTCCACCTTCCCTCATACAGCTTTTTGATGAATATGAATTGGTAAGGAAAAACATTAGTTCTTATGTCATTACACAACAACACAAAACTCTAGTTGATATAATTCAGAAATAATTGTGGAGCACTATAATGAATGAAAAAATGTATAAATGAGACAAAATGGTTGAATGCTCATTTTTAGAGATTTGATATAAGATTTATGGATGTGCTTCTTTTAAGCTTAATAACCAGATTAACAACTCCTTAATGTGAAATGATTGAGGTGGTGATGAACAAAAATGAAATGTATTTCTATTTCTTCTGTATGGGAGATGTTGAAAGCCTTCCTATATGCAGTATTCTACATTATTTCTGAATCCTTTCTTTGACCCCATGATGTAAAGGATGCTGATACTAACTTCTTTAAACTTCTAAAAAGAATTAAGAAGGTTTTTCTTATTGTATAGTATTATCTTCTTCAGTTTCTTATATTGCCATATATGTAATTTTATAATTCTTCATTTCAAACCTATAGAGTTCATCATCTTTGCTGTCCTCTAGTCCCTAATGAATGTTTGGTTTTGCTACTTTAATTTGCCTTTTTTATACTATGATCCAAGAGGATTTCTAATTTTATATGATTTATGTCTGCATTTTTCTCCATTTTCTTTTTCTTTTTTTCTTTTGGTAATTTGGAGAATTATTTTGAAACTGTTTGAGTTATCTAAATCTTAATAAAGCCCAGTATCTTAAATAGGATATAGCTACTTTCTTATCTAAAAAATTATAATTTGGAATAGTAAGTTCCAGATCCGTGGAAACGTTTTCTTTGGTTTTTATTCTGTTAGAAAATTAGTTTTGCCCTATGCCTTTCATTTTAGTAAATGGATACAGATACTGATATATTCTTTTAATTTTACATATGTATCAATATTTTTAATTTATCACTCATGGCATATCTTAATATAGTAGTGCTAGGCTGCAAACCCATGTTCCCTGACCCCAGATCCCATCAGTGTTGCCAGTCTGCTTCTTGGTGGCATGAGAAATCACAGGGCCTTGGCTTTTGAACTTTTTGTGTGACTTTGTGTCTTTCATAGGGGAGGGCTATGCTACACTGAGAAAGGAACCTTTTAAAAAATTTGGTGTAAACATCTAAGCTAGATGTGCATCTGAGTTAAAGGATTCAGGTTAAATTCTAGAGTTTTAGTGAGGAGGAGGTATCGAGTAGCTCCACTGTCCTGAACTGGAGGTATAGTCATCCATTGTAGACTGTTCTTCCATACTGTGCTGCTTGTGAATTTATCCATGATAGAACCAGAATTTAAAAACATTGAGTCGTGCAATACTAGGTAAGCTGAAGGCTATGAATACTTACATGATTCAGTTTCTATTAGTATGAGTTATATACCTTACACACAGTTCCAACAGAAGAATTCAATTTTTTTTTTGTATTTAAAAACATTGATTGGGACTTAAAATATTTTTGTTTTATGTACTTTTTATTCTGGAATTCTCATTTCGTCTATTTGTTTTTGGTCAGTTTAATAACTTTTTTGCTCAGTTGTTGGATGGGATAATAAAGATCCTTTCTTCTTCAAAAAAAATCATAACAAGTAATGTGATATTCATGAAGTGCTTCAAATTTCTTAAGAGAATATAATATTAGTCATTTTTATTCATAATTACGAATAATGAAAGCATACTTAATATTATTAAAAGCTTATCTTCAGCCTAGAAGGGAAAAGGATTAAACTCATGAATTAAAAGACATGCGTAAAGCCTATCCCACTCCCTTTTAACAGATCTGTATCAGAGTCCTGCCAGAGAACAGAATTCCCCCAGATGGTTCAAATATTGAAACTTTAACAAAGGGACTATTATAGAGATATGGGCAGTGTTAAGAATAAGCAAGGTCTAGTGAGACATCCACAGACTGGCAACAGGGAAAGCCTTTATCATCCTTAGGACTGAAGAGACAGGTAGAGGAATTCCTGTGAACAGCTCTGTGGAAGCTTCACCCACCAAGGAGGGGCCACCTGGCAGTAGCCATACTTGAGGAGCCGTAGCTACTGCAAAGAGGTGCTGAAGCAGTGAGGGAGCCTACAATGCCCTCGCCTCCAGACTAACTGCCTAACCGC